CTTCTTCATCATACTCTACTTCCAAAGTTTCCAAATCAGCGACGATCTCCTTAAATACAGCCAGGTGATCTTCCAATGATCCTCCTTCTGCCATTCGATGAGAGTATAAACGCTGCTTGAGGTTCAACTTACTTGTCAGACGTGTAGTCATGCACAATTACTAAAGCAGCTACTGATTTTCTCCTTCAAAACTCCATGAAGAATGGTATTTGATAGATGAAGATGAATGTGAGAAACTGCATTTTTATCCTTCTGTAATTTCTCCTTCGCGATCAAAGTTGCCAGCATCCTGTCAATATCCAATAACGCATCATCCAAATCCAGCTATGCAAGTACTATATGTATCTTAAACTGCCTAGTGAAAATCTAGTACTCTAATCCAAAAGCGGAATATCATACTTCATGGAAGCCAACACGAATAAAAAACTTTGAACAAATCAAACCTTGCACTCTACGAAACTGTTGAACTTTGGCTCTGATACCACTTGTTAGGATTGATACCACTTGTTGTGACACCAATCACTGGATTGAGATATTGAAGTTATATGGCAAAATATGAAGTATTAGATCAATAACAAAAGCATAAAAGAAGACAAAAATATGGCAGATGAATTAAGAGATTTTATTGACTCAAGAATAATAGAGAATAGAGAGAAAATTACAATGGATCATATATTCTAGTAATCTATTTTCTCACACATATTAAATTATATAGAAAAGCCTAATATATATAGGGAACATGTAGGGCAACGTCCAAACCCTAATAGATGAGTTGTGGTTGAAGTAGAATGTCAAGAAAATGTGTTAAAACGCAAAACGGGCTTGGATAGGGTAACACTATCGATTGAGCGATAGGCGGGCGATAGCCCCGTCACTCGAGTGACAGGGCAGCGCCAGGCAGGCGACAAGTCTCGGGAGAAAACCTGTAGGTGTTGCTCGAGCGGCAAGCTAGCAAAAATGTGGTGACTTTTCTTCCCGATCCATAATTTCAACCTATTCAACTCTAATACAAATTCCAACTCCCAATAGGCTTCCAAAATAGAACTTTCACTTGACATAGGACTCCAATAGCATTTCAAAATGAATTCTTCTTGACGTGCACTTCAATTACTTCAACAAGGAAATTCAGGTCACGCCCAAATTTCAACAAAAAATTGAAATACTGATACATAGTTGTTTAATCAAGATGATGTTTTGCTCCTTGTTTGGGCTATTCTAAATTATCATACCATGACTAGGAGCTAGATATTGGCATGTTGGATATTTTTCTTCATGTCTGTAGGGGCATGTTGAGTCGATGTATTTGCCATTTTGAAGAAGCTACTGATTTTGCTTCATGTTTCATGCATTAAGTATATTTTTCATTCTTTTCGACTTTGAATTTGACATTTCATATTTTTTATATTCTTTTAT